GGTACCTCAGTGGCCCCTGCCTAAGGAGAAGCTATTAGCCTTGTCAGAAATAGTCAGTACACAACTTAGATTAGGACACATTAAGCCGTCAACCTCCCCATGGAACACCCCCATTTTTATAATTAAGAAAAAGTCTGGCAAGTGGAGGCTGCTCCATGATCTAAGGGCGGTCAACGCGCAGATGCAGTCCCTGGGGGCAGTCCAGAGGGGGCTGCCAGCTCTCTCAGCCATCCCTCAGTCCTGGCCAGTTTATGTTATAGATCTTAGAGACTGTTTCTTCTCAATCCCCCTGCATCCAGAGGACACTCATAGGTTCGCCTTTACTTTACCCACCATTAACCAAGAAAGCCCTGATCTCAGATACGAGTGGATAACGCTGCCCCAAGGTATGGCCAACAGTCCCACTATGTGTCAGATTTACCTTGATTCCCTACTGGCCCCCCTACGGAAATCCTTTCCCAAGATAAGATGTGTGCATTACATGGACGACCTTTTGCTCAGCGGCAGGGACCCAGACATGCTAAATAATATGCTCGGCCAGTTGGTCGAGGCCCTGAGACAAGCTAATCTGCATGTTGCCCCCGACAAGATTCAGGGAGGAGAAATGGTGACCTACTTAGGCGCGAAAATCTCCCCTGTGCTAGTCTCTCCACAGAAGGTCACCATTAGGACGGATGGCGTTAGGACCCTAAATGACATGCAAAAGCTATTGGGAGACATTAATTGGATTAGGCCATATTTACATATACCAAATTCAGATCTCAAACCCCTGTTCGACCTTCTGAAGGGAGACCCAGATATAGCCTCCCACAGGAGGCTCACTCCTGAGGCAAGAGCTGCCTTACAGAGAGTGAAAAAAGCCTTAGGTGGGGCTACCTTACACAGAATTGAACCAGGGCGACCCTTTGATGTCTGTTTGCTACAGACTAGTCTACAGCCCACAGCGGTGATTTGGCAGAAAGGACCATTACTGTGGATACACCCTAAGGTCTCACCTGCAAAAGTCATAGAGCATTACCCGGAGACAGTCGCTTCATTGGCCCTTGAAGCGCATGATAGAGCTGTCCAACATTTTGGCTCAGGACCACAAGCCATCCGAGTACCCTATACCGCCAGCCAGATCAAGACCCTGGCTGCCTGCATAGATACATGGGCCATTCTGAGATGTGTTTTCCATGGGGATACAAACAATCAATACCCTAAAGACCCTATCTTGTCATTTGTCACTCAGCACCCTATAATTTTTCCAAAGGTTACTGCCTCTGAGCCATTAGTCCCAGCAACTACAATATACACAGATGGCTCCAAGACGGGGATAGGCGCCTATGTGATCCTAGGCAAGCCCCCGGTTACCATACAATTTGAACCTGATCAGCCTCAGGTGGTAGAACTGCAGATCGTTAAAATGATTCTTGAACGGTTCTCAAAAGCCATTAATATTGTCTCCGATTCTAGGTATGTGGTCAATGCTATGCAAGTGCTTGAGACTGCCGGTTTAATTAGATCCACTTCCACAGTGGCTGGGCTGTTCCTGTCTATCCAGACATTGCTTCAGAACAGACACCATAAGGTCTTCACCACCCACATAAGAGCACATACATCCCTGCCGGGGCCCATGGCACAGGGAAATGCGGCTGCTGATACTGCCACTCGCCCGTTATGGATTTTTACCTTACTAACACCAATCGAGCGAGCCCGTGCCTTCCATGATAAGTTTCATGTCAATGCCAGGACACTAACAAACCATTTCCATGTTTCCAGAGCAGATGCACGAGATATCGTGCGACTATGTGACTCCTGTGCCACATACAAACCTGCCATACCGATGGGAGTAAACCCTCGAGGTTTGATCCCTGGTGATGTTTGGCAGATGGACATCACACATATACAGGAGTTTGGGACTCTTAAATATGTTCATGTTTCCACAGACACCTGTTCTCACGTCATATTGCAACAGCAGAAACAGGTGAAAAAGTGTCTAATGTGATCAATCATTGCCTGGCGGCTTGGGCCGCATGGGGCAAACCAAAAATATTAAAAACTGATAATGGACCAGCCTATATAGGCAAAGCCTTCAATGAGTTCTGCAAAATGATGGAGGTTCAATTAAAACATGGTATCCCATACAATCCCCAAGGTCAAGGAATCATTGAGAGGGCTCATAGAAGCCTCAAAGAAATTTTACAAAAACAAAAAGGGGGAGTAGGCCAAGGCCTGGCCCCAAAGGCACGATTATCCATGGCACTATTCACACACAATTTTTTAAATTTAAATAATGATAATTGCTCCCCAGCCGTGGAGCACTGCAACCCTTCCCCCAACCATAAAGGGTGGGTGAAGTGGAAAGATGTCCTGACAGGACAATGGATGGGCCCGGATCCAGTGGTCAGCTGGAACCGAGGCGCGGTTTGTGTTTTCCCACAGGAATCGGGACGAGAACCACTGTGGGTACCGGAGAGACTGACACGGGCGACAAAGCCCTCGACTGAAGATCAGACCTGCCCTACCGGAGATCCATCACAGACCAACCAACAAGATGAATAGAAATAGCGATAGCCCAAAATGGACAAGAAGATCCTCAGGCATATGCATGGCTCGCTCGCCTAGCCTACGACCGAGTCTAGGGACGGTGAGCTTCCCACACACCTCCTCTAAAAAATTATGACATAGCTGGGTAGGAGAGTCAATGATGGGTAAGAGCGTACTCCCCCGGTGCGACTCAACCTAAGCCAGGCCCTACCCCATCCTGCACGTAAGCCGCTGGACTGTTAGACGCTGCCCAGGTCTAAATTTCTCTCCGAGGGGATTTCTTTACGGAGAGAAAATGAGTGCAAGCTTGTGTGCATCCAGGTTCCGTCCAGTTTGTGCCTGGCCCTAGAAAAAGGACGAGGGCCTCAGGGCCTTGGCAGACCATGGGACGGCCGACCAGGGTCTAAGCCAAGGACCTATGGTGGGCCTACACATAGGGCATAAGCCTCTGCACCCAGTCCAGGAAGGGCTACGATGCGCACATTCATAAAAAATAAAAAAGGGGGAGATGTTGGGAGCCGCAGCCCCGAGCCCGGTCGCCTCACTTGGCGGACGTGAGGCCTGTAGTAAAGAGTAAAGCCTGAGGTAGATTACCCCTCCCATCGAGCACGTTAGTTTCCTGCTTACCGTGTAAGCAACCCGCTCAACAATATAGTCTGCCTGGCAACTGATGATGTTAGCCAATCAGCTTGCCTTGCTTACTTTAACATGATTGGACACTGTATCCGTATATATACTGGTGCCACCCCTGGGGGGGAAGAAGAAGCCCGGAAGTAGAAGCCCAGAAGGAGCCGCGGGGAGCGGACCAAAGGAGGCTTCGGCTGGGAGCGATCCCAGGGCAGGCTGTACGGAGAAGGAAAATAAAAGAAAAGGTTGTCCACTGCCAGACTTTGTCGTGTGTCCTTCCTGCCGGCCGGAAGCGACATCGACAGATTTTAACATCACGGGCTCCTTGGATGATCTTTGGTGACAGCCTCTTTGCTCTCTTAGAGTGGATAAATCTGAAAGGGAATCTTCAGCACACAGAATTGGACATGAGATAAGTCAAGGAGTCAAAGAACAGGATCTGGGACCATCTCTGTGTTTCGTAGTAACTCACTATTTTGGGAGTTTATGAGCATCTTGCAAGCTCTATAGAAACCTCTTCTAAGGGAAGCAGCCCTAAAAATCTAATTACCTTCCAGTATTCCTCATCTTTTACATCTATCAAATCTTAATACTGGCAAGTTAAAGATCAAGGCTTTAGCATATGAATCCTTGCTTGAAAAATCACATTTAAACTAAACCACAGTAGTTCCACAGCAAGGATATGAGGCCCCAGTTGTAGCCAAGCCATCCAGCTAAATGTCATTTCCCATATTTTTAAATGATGCATTCAGTGCTGCTCTGTTTTTTTCCTTGTATTTTTGCTTTCCTGTCAAGAGCTAGACATTTTGGTAAACGCTGGAAGGATGAATGGATATTAGATAGATGTGCAGGGAGAGCATGTGAGATCCCCTAGGTAGGGTTAGACAATGCACCATGCCCTTCAAGATGTAGAGGAGACATGATCTCTGTGTCCAAACAAACAATGGAACTAACAGCCTGAGTTTTCACACTTTCAAATAATTTGTGCTTGTGTAATAATCTACTGTCCCTTCCTTTAATTTCTCCTTCTAACAGGTCACTTCCACAAAATGAGTTCCTAAACTAGTTGCTAGAAAATAACCCTATAGACCACCAAAACTAGACCCCTGGTAACAAGACCAACAATCAGTCAAGTAGTGACCCTCAGAGTGGGGCCCCTACCCTCAAACAGGACTACAGTCTCAGGTCCCTTGCTGTCTCAGTTCTGGGCTCTGACACTCCTGGATCTTTACCAGTTCTTGTAATAGCTGCAATGAAATTACTTTTGCTTTTTTCTGGTCTTCTCTGATTCCTCTTTCTCTTTCTATGTCAGAGAGAGGAAAGCCCAGCTAGGCTGAGTCTAAGGATCCCTAGACTCTAGAGCTAAATGATATAAAAGATGGCTGAATAGAGGCCAAGTATTTTGAAAAAGTGTATTCATGAAAACCATTGTGTCCGAAACAACCTCTGCTCTGAAAGTTAGTGAATTTCTTGACTCAAGAAGGGCCATTTGGAAGGAATATTGCAGATAGTTTGAAAAATATTTTAAAAGAGAGTTTAAAAATTGGATAATATTTATGATTTCTTCCAAAATCTGAGAGCCTAGAAATCTGGGGGAAACTAACTCAGGAATGCTAAGAGATATATCAAGTTTTAATCTCCCATCTGAGTCATTCTAAGGATATGAGTAGAGAGAAAAGTTTCCAGGTTGTTCTCAGAGCCTCAAACCAAAGCTTCCCACAGTCTGAAATTATCTGCTACCTGTGGCTGCTTTTGGAAAGTTCAAAGTACATAGAAATTAGAGTTCTACAAGAGAGAAAATCTTATGTAAGAAATTACTGGCTGAATTTGTGACTTCCTGTTATCTGAGAGCTGGGAATGAACTGTTCAGATAACAAGTTAAATACTGAGCGGCGTGATTAGGGGGAAGCCTTTCCAAGAGGAAAATAATTTTTATTTTTGTCATTTCAGATTACTCAGTTAGGTTAAGTAGGCAAGGCCGTGCTTGCTTTTAGGGAAGATCAGTGCATTCCCTTGGAGCAGAAAGAACACACTGGCCCTGCTGTCCTTCCATGATGCAGCTTTGTGCTCTGATCTTGGCCTGTCTTACTGCTTGCACAGCCTGGGGTAAGTACTTCTGAAACATAATTAAAGGAGGAGAGAGTAAGTGCATCTAGAAGTCTTTGTCCTCAGCTGAAGTGGGTAAAGATGTTTAGAGAACAAACACATAACAACTCTGGTCTCACAGTGATGTTAACTTTCTGGACTTGAACCTGGATGTGGAATCATCCTAACTAAAAGGAAAATCATGAGAAGATGAATAACCTGAGACCAAACTATTGGCAGCAGATGCAAGAGGACAGGGAGTCACATTTAACTTCACCGAGAAAGTATGAGAACTCAGTTTATTTTTTCCATAATTTCCAGTTCTAGCCAGGTTATGAAGGAGGCTTAGTAGTATTACAATTATTGACTCAGAAGCCAGAGTGGATGTCTCAATCCTGCTCAGCACTTTTCAGAAGGTTAGACTTAGGTAAGGTATCTTAGTTGTACTGTGCCTATGTTACCCTACATCTAAAACAAGGTCAACAGTGGTGCCTACCTCAGTGGACACAGAGAGCATAAAATGGGTTGTTGTTTCTAAATCAGTATAGAGGAAGTATAGTCAGAAGAGATGTGGCAGAAGGGATAAAAGGGTTGATTTAAAATAGAGTGTATTAACAGAAATTTTATCATGTGGTAAATTAGGCCAGTATCCACTGACTACCAAAAGGAGAGATTGTTACAAATCCCAAAAAACAGGTCACACCACGGTGCACAGGCCACAGGTAGAAGCACAGAATACCTTAGGAGGACAGGGGAAAGGGGAAGCACTGGAGCAAGAGGCAAATTCCATTGGAAGGAAAAGAAATGCATAGAAAGTTGGAACTGTGTTGTTGGAAATTGGAGGGTAGGAGCTGTGCTAGTTTCCTGGATTTGGGATTTGGGTGATGGAGGCAGGTGCATGTTGGCCCTGGGTCTGAGAACCAGATGTAAGAGGTGATTGGGGTGAAGCCTATGGATTGGTTGGACCTATGAGAGATAGTTCCTCTATGATCAGCAAAGTTTCTAAAGTCAACACATTAGATACAAAAAAAAATCCGTGGTATATCAGAGCTATAGCAAGGCACCTGAACATACATCCATGCCATTTTATAGACAGAGAAATTCAGACTCAGATGTTTTCCAAGGCCAGCTGGAAAATCGTGCTTAGGTCTATCCCTGAGTCCCAAAGTCAGACCAGGGCTCAGACATCAGTGCCTGGATAATATAGATTGTATCATCTGTTTGTCAGTGTGACACAGAGAGATACCTAGAACTGAGGTATCAGAAGGGACCTAGAGGTAGAGTGATACGTTCTGTTTTTCCTGGTTAACCTAGATGCAAATATATTTCCATCTTTAGGAAATTTATATGGGCCAATTCCAAAGTTTGTTTCATCATCTGCTAAGTTAGCATATTAACACTTATACACAGCAAGGTTTTTAAAGACAAAATAACGTAAAGAAAGTCTCATGGTCACACAAAATGTGGTGCACACACCACTTGACATATGTGGTAAATTGTGTGACCTTTTTAATTTACCTTTCTCACTCTGCTCAATCACATTTTTACTCCGGGCATTATAAATGTTATCACTGGGCTCTACTTAATTCACTTGAGTTAATGCAAGTAATGCAGCCACACCTAGTGATTTGTGTTTAAACTTTACTCTCTGATCTCTTTGAAGCACCCAGCAATCCTGCTGATCCCTCCTCCTTTCTGGGCTGCCCTGACATGTTGCCCTTCTGTCCTACTCTGGTAGGAACTCTATCTCAGCTGCAGCTGTCTCTGAGCTTTATTATCAACTTATTCTTTTCTTCACACAGATCTGTATTGAAGTCACACACACACAGCCAAAATGTGCACCCTCACCTTCAAGTGGATGCCACTGCCTGTCCCCAACCACTTTTTTCCACTTCTGTGGTGCCCTCGTCCTGTGGCATTTTCTTACCAGTATTCTCACTGACTTTCCCACTAAACCTCCTTAACATGGTACCCTCCTCTTACACTTGCTTTACTGTCTCCTCCTTTCCTGTACTCCTTTCATGCATCTTTGTAAGTTTTTTTCCTCATTAAAGAAAAGGAACCAGACTTCAGCACAGAAATCTTCAAATGAACAAAGAGAAAAAGAAACCTGCAATGTCTCAAGCTGTGAACATCTCCGTGTGTAGGCTTTACTTTAAGTATTCCTTTGGGTGGTTAATAAGAAACAAAAAGGAAATAAACATGACATTGTTACTAACCTTGTTAATTAATAACCTGGTTTCTCCAAAAGAATGTCCAGTGTTATTGCCTATTCTTCTGCTAGGACAAATCATTTTTCTTCTTGGTTAGGCAATTTTAGGGAGACATTTCCATCTGGTTTTTTGAAAGGAGAAAATTGGGGCAACAACAGGTTAGAAATCGTGTCCTGTGAGGAAGACTCACATGTGTTGAGATTTGGAGGCCAAAGGAGAGAAGACTCCAGAGGGTATCCATGGTCAAGCATTTGAAAGTCTATAGGTTTAGTTCACACTGAATGCAGGACAATGGAAGCTAAGGATGTAGAGGAAGCTTCAGGGGTTAAGGAAGAATCCTCTCTCCTATAAGAATGTAGTGGATGGGACAGGACATTTTCAGTCCTTTGAGTGGACTCTCTCACAGCCACCTGAGAATATTGTAGAAGCTTATTGTGTTCTTTACCTCAGAAGTGTTCCTGTTCTAATTATCCCACTGAATAAAACCCAGTCCCTCAGGCTGACATTTGGCTCTTTATTCCACATACCTGTGCATTCCAAGATGCTCTTCCACTGTCCATAGACTGCATACTGTGGTTTTCCTAGGCCACTCAGGATCTGTGTTTTCTTGTCTGTGGGTCTCTACATTTTCTCCTATTTTTGCTTCACTCATCTCCTTCCATCCTCACTTATTCTCTCTCTTCCTGCTGCAAATTGCAGCTCCTCTATGATTCCAGCAATTAGAAGGCCTCACTTCCTTTTCCCAATCATGTAGCACCTTTTTCATTCATCTCCATCAATAACATTTTCTTCTTTCAAGCGTTGTGTCAAGTTGTTCTGTCGCTCTTCACTCTGTGATGTCAGCCTCCTGAAAACAAGGTCCCTCCTTTCATCCCATAATCCAGGAACAGGTCAATACCAGTATGCTAACAAGTACACATTTACAAAGATTGCAAGTAGGAAACAAAATGTCTTATTCAGTCCCAGCATCATTTTTATGTTTTAAGTTTACTTTTCGGTTGTTTCCTTTCTACCTCCACTTCTAAATTACTCCTTCAGTTAGCCTTCAGAGTTAGGAAGGACAGTGATTCTCACCCCATGACACAAGAAGAAACAGAGCCCCAGCACGTTTACGTGACTTAGTCAAAGTCACATGCTTAGGAGGAGGCAAAATCTACCTGGTGTCTGAGCCTCACCTTTTCCCTCTGACGTACTCTTTTTTCCTCTCTATGTCCTGCAGGGCACACATCCTTGCCACCTGTGGTGGACACTGTGCATGGCAAAGTCCTGGGAAAATATGTCAGCTTGGAAGGATTTTCACAGCCTGTGGCTGTCTTCCTGGGCGTCCCTTTTGCTAAGCCTCCTCTGGGGTCCCTGAGGTTTACTCCTCCACAGCCTCCAGAGCCATGGAACTATGTGAAGAACACCACCTCCTACCCTCCCATGTAAGTTGATGGGGGTGGCTTTGTCATCTTCCAGTGCGGATGTTTTTCTCAGGGTGATGTAAGAAAGTAATAAGATACTATGCTGATTGATCCTACTTTGTTCTGGGACCATCAAGCACATTAAAGCATTCCAGAACTACCACATCTTTCTAGACCATGTTATTTAGCACACATTTATCAAGCATCAATTGTGAGCCAAGCATGTACTTAGTTCTTACAATCTGTTGGAGAATAAAACTTTTCAGAAATAAGCAGAGATATAAAAGCCAATATGGGAGGTAAAAATGAATTTGGTAATAGATTACAGTTGGAAATACGCTTTATAGGGAAGAAAAGTAATTGAACAAGTGAGGGAGATAGGAGGCAGTGTTATGATCTATTCTGTCTTGAAACCAATTTAGCTGGGTACTTATCTATAAATACTAGTAAAATGGAACTCCTTATTTTTGACATTTTTTTGTGCTTTTATGTGTACAATGTCCTTTTGTCTTGGTGATCCTGGAAATGCTTTCCAGTAGAGGATTTGAAATAAATTCCTTTGAGAGTTAAATGCTGTCTCAACCTGGCACTTGAGAGCCTCTTCTACATCTTTCTGGGTGTAATTCTACTACCTGACTCCATGAAGAACTGGAAGTGTGGTGCATCATGTACTTGGGAAGATAAGCACTTCGTAGTATGGATCTATTTCCTATGCAATCCTTAGCAGGTTTTCTAACCTGTTTGTGCCTTATTTTTCCCACCTGTAAAGTAGGGATAAGAAGATAATCAGGAGTGTTAGAGATGGATTCTGAGAGGTTTGAAGAGCAAGTACATGAGAGGAATTTAAGTTGGTGCCTGTCACACTGGGGAACTCAGAATAGGTAGTAGGTTGTAGTCTATGTTGAATATCACAGTCTTCTTTTCAGGACAACCAACAGTGTTTCCCTGGGGCAGAGGGAGGAGGGAATGGTAGCATAGTAGGGCTGCAGGATATTTATAGAACAGACAGATTAGGTCCGAAGCAGGAAGGGAATTTGCTTATGATCAATCAGTACATCTGTGGGTGAGCCAGTCCTGAAAGGTAGTTTTCCTGAAGATATTCCCAAAATTTATTCAGTTTAATTTCTTACCATGGAGGGAGTTCTGGTTGAAAGAAGTCTGCTAGACTAGAACATGATTGCATGATAGAAGAACACAACTACCACACAGCCCAGAGGAGAATAGTTCTATAGGAAATGCCATCTCCTATGGAAGAACAGCACATGGGCCACCTCTTGTCCCTGCATCAGTGCATCCTAATGGAAAGTGTAGGGTTGCTATGTGCTTTTCATTCTGCATGATCTTGGGAGACTCCAAGAGTCCCAAGGACCCTACCAGCTCCCCAGATTGCCTTCTGTGCATTGCAATTACTACAGTCTGGTGACAGCATTTCCACATTAGGAGTTAAACCTTCCAGTACAAAGTCCAGCCATAGAGACCACTTGTAATTTCCACTTGTTTGAACTTTAGGTATTTTTCTTTCCCTCCCAGGTGTTCCCAAGATTCAGAAGGGAGTAGGCCACTCTCTGATCTCTATACCAATAGGAAGGAGAGCATTCCCCTGTGGCATTCTGAAGACTGTCTATATTTAAATATTTACACCCCTGTGGACGTGAGGAAGAAAAGCAGTCTGCCGGTAAGCAAGGCACCACTGTTGAACACTTATGAGTTTGAACTGGGCATATAGCTCAGTGGCCCAACACCTGCCTGGCAATCACAATTTGCTGAGTTTGATTCTTGGTACAAAAGAAAAGAAAATAAACAACACTTGTGAGAAAAGAAAATAAACAACACTTTCATCATCCTGGTACTTTGAATGCAGCATATAGGGAAATGAAATCAGTCTAAGTGAAGTGGCACATTTTATTTTTGTAACTGCCTGTGGCACAAGGTAGTGGCTTAGTGAGTCAGCATTTCCTAGAGTGGAAGACCAGTGGTAATTCCTTCCTACTGCAGCCATGAGTCAGGTGATGGGTAAGGGCATGCTGGAAAAGATGAAATCCACAGTCTATGAGGATGAAAAGGGAGACATCCAGCCCACCTCGCATGAAAACCTTGGCATGGAGCGCATGAGTGGGAGAGGAGACATGGGGACTATGAGGTTGCTCCTTCATGTGTTTTTTTTTTTAATTTTTAAAAACTTTTTATCGGTACCAGGGATTGAATTCACGACTGTCTGCTTGCAAGGCAGGTACTTATGCCACTGAACTAAATCCCCAGCCCCCTTCATGTGTTTTTAAGGCACAAGGAGTTGAGGATAAATTCTCCCTTATTTATTCATTCATTCACTCTTGCATCTATTACCTACTTAGTGTTCCTAGAAGCACAGTTATACCAGAGACTTCTGGCCAAGAGGATGAAACCGCGCACTCAGAGCCCTGCCTTGAAGGATCTTGCCATTTGGGATGTGTAGATACATCCTAAATTCTCCAGCATATCATTTTTCCAACAACCTTTGAGATTTGCTTTCCCTGGGATGAATGAAATTCCTGACGTTGAGACAAACAACAAAGCTGCAGAGGAAACAGGCTTTGTAAATTTGTATGCAAGAGAACCCTGGCTATGAACCATGTTCAGAACTACAAAGTCTCACTTTCAATCTGAGTCTGTCTTTGACGACCTAGAGCCTTGGGAAATTTCTTAATCTCTTTCAAAGTCTGTTTTCTCAAATGAGAATCCTTGCGTAGAAATATGCAGTGATGTCTGTCAGGCTTTACTCAATCCTGGCTGAATATCAGAGCAAGCACTGATCACATCCTAGGTAGAGCTGCAGAAGGATATTCCTCTTGCCCAGACTGCCAGGTTACTGTGCTCTATTGTGTGCTACAGTCAGTGAGCAGCTCAGTACATGAAGTCTGAGACCAGATTATCTGGTCAAATATTACTGCTATGACTTATTATCTGTAGGATGTTGGGCATTAAATGGCCCAGTTTTCCTGTCAGATGGGACATTATTAGTAGCTATTATTTGGAAAAGCAATTTTCAGTGATGAGAAGAGTTATTGGTATATACTTCACATTGTATGTTTTTTAAATTAGAAATAGTATTATAATGCTGCTTTATCTACTGTCATTTATTCCCTGGTATGTTAACTGTTAAATGTAAGAATATGACTTATGAGTTGTTCTGTTTATTGTACTGCCAATTTCAATTCTCCTAACAATCTCAGATGTCTAGGAGGCTTTCATGTCACGTTATTCAAATGACTGAAGACTTCCTGCAGGAGGTGAATGTGAGCCTGGGCTGAGGAGGATGTGTAGGATTTAGGCTACAGAGGAGGCAATGTAGAGGCAGCGAAGGAACATAATGCCCTGAGGGTGTCCTTAAGTTTTGAGATTGCACAAGAAATATAATTCCCCCTGAAGAGTAACTGAGATGAAGCTGAAATACAAGAACTTCCTTTTTCCCTTCTGTATATTCAGATGTTTGTGTGGGCCAGGCATGAGACTGATGGAGTGATGGGGAGAACATGACATCCTTAGCCTTTGCTGTGCTTTCATGACATTTTCATTTTGAAGAGCTTTGGCAGGACATGGCACATGGGTCTGGAGACAAAGGCAGGGAAGTCAGTGGGTGTTGAGTAAAGTGGCTGACTTAGCCCAGTCTGGAGATTTGGGGAGGAAAGAGACCACCTTTTGTAATATTGCTGCTGTTGATAGACTGAATAATAACAACTTGAGTTATAATCATGATGTTGTAAGCAACCAAAATCAGAAAACACATAAGGACTTTTCCGAAATCATTTTCTATGATCAGCATTACTGTGTTCTTTTTGTCCAGGTGATGGTGTGGATCCATGGAGGTGGTCTTGTGGTGGGTGCAGCATCAACCTATGATGGACTGGCCCTCTCAGCTCATGAGAATGTGGTAGTAGTGACCGTTCAGTTCCGCCTGGGCATCTGGGGATTCTTCAGGTAAGATGTTGGACTTCTGTCTCTGTTTACTTCCTTCAGTATTGGTTTATTTTCTGGTGATGTGGCAAAGTGCCTGATCATTTAAAAGCACCAAGTTATGTAGTTCATTCTAACATCAGAGGGCTTCCTTGTATTGGTCTTTGGTGACAGTCCCTTGGCTCCAGCATAGAAGGGTGGAAAATTGAAAGTGGATCTTCAGCATACAGATTGGTTACAACCTTGGACAGAAATCCATGGGTATGAGCTATTTCTTACTCTTTTATAGCAGCTCACTCTTTTGGGGACAAATCAGCATCTCACGAGCTCTATATTAATCTCTTCCAAGGGCAGCAGTCTAAATGACTTACCAACCTTCCACTAGGCCTCACCATGTTACAGTTCTATCAACACTTCTAATACTATCATATTAGGAATTAAACCTTTGGACATGAACCCTTGGGAAACTATCCACATGTAAACCAAACCGTAATATTTTTCATATCAAAGATGAGAGCTTGTCTGTAGTCATGCCATCTCTCAAAACACCCTGTATTATGCTTCTTAATAATACATCCATTCCCTTTATTATTTGGACTCCAGTGAACTTTTCATCTGACAGTCAGTCTCGTCAATTTGCTTCTGAGCTTTTACATGGTCTGAATCCCTAGGATTCTGCTCTGCCTGTCAAATACTGATCTGTGCTTCAAAACCAAGCCCTTGTATTACTGCCTCTGAGATATTCACCTCCCTTTCACCTGTTGTGTATCCAAGTGCCTAGCAAAGTTGAGAAAAGTCCCTATTCTTCTCAAGTCTCCTTCTTTAATGGGGATGAGCGTTCAGCAAAGCAGTTTAGTGCTCTACTTCTGGGTACGTTAGAAGAGGCAGCCTCATGGAAATAGTGTGCATAAAGCTGATGCGACAGATTTTCAACTAACTCCATTGCAGACTGTTCTCACAGAGACCAACAGTGACCTCCACCAGCACCCAGAAATGCCTCATTGGGCTTCTCAGATTTAGCCCCATCAGCCTCTCCTTAAATTTTGAACTACTTCATTCTCTAAACTCACCACCTCCATGTTCCTGACTGCTCCTTCTTTGCCCACTTTCCTCCTCATTCTTAGTTCTCTGTCTTGCCCTATCCTCTACTAATTTTTGAGAGACCCTAGAAGCTCTTTCACGTGCTTTTTTGAAGTCTCCACCTGTGCTTTAATGGTAGCTGTCATTTTTAACTACCTTCTCTCACCTCCCTTGGATGTCTACTGGATGCCTCCCACTTTACATAGACACACTGTGGTGTTCACCGCCTCCGACAGTCTTTAATGATAATTGCTTCCCATTCAACAATGACTCTTTGTATTCTAATAAAACCTTGTTGAGCAGCCATCAGCCGCTTTATCTTTCCTGTTGCTTAGGATAAAAGGTTGGTGGGCAGGCCTAGACTTTTCTCTTTCTTCTACCTCATATCCACTTGGCCAGAAAATTCTCTGGGCTCCAACTTTTAAATATCTTTATCCAGATTCTTTGCACCTCCTCCTTGCTTGCATTGTAGCCCAAGGCATGATTTTGTCCTTGTTTATATCCAATTACTTTTATAAATCTGTTAATTTTATATGATGGTTGCTTCATATAGTAGCCAGAGTGCTCAGGTGAGACAGCTAGCATGACATTATGCCTCTGAAAAGGGTTCCCATATTACTTACTGTGACACAGAAGTCCTTGGTAAGGCCCACGGCCTGCTCTCTAGCATGTCTCACAATGGCTACACTCGATTTGTTCTCTTGTTCCTGGGCTCTGTGCACCTGCTGCTTCTCCTAAATTAAGTTTCCTTTGCTAAATAATCACATGACCTATGTACTTATTTTACTGAGATCTCTGCCAAATTCCAATGTAGTGGAGAAGCTTTCACTGGCCATGAGAGCTGTAATAACCTCACACTTCCACATATGATTCTTTATCTGGGTTTATTTTCCACGAATTCCTTTCAATATCTAACAGTATATTATCTTTTCATTTGCTTGTTTTTGGTCTCTAGTGTAAGCTGAGTGTAGCCAGAGGTTGGCCATCTTGTTTCCATGTGATTGGTCCTTAGGTCAGTTTTGGATACACAGTAGATGCTCAGTCTACAGCAACTTGGAGAATCAGTGTGGAGCTCTCCATACAGTAATGCTGTAGGAGTGATGATCCAGGCAGGCATGTAAAGCTCAGGCTCACTCTGAAAAATGGAGAGTTCCCTGGACCACTTCGGCTCGGAGAGTCCCACTGTGATAGTTCTGTTTCCTTTTCCTACTCTATCTCTTGCAGCACAGGGGATGAACACAGCCGGGGAAACTGGGGCTATTTGGACCAGGTGGCTGCACTGCGCTGGATCCAGGACAACATTGCCAACTTTGGAGGGAACCCACGCTCTGTGACCATCTTTGGACAGTCATCAGGAGGTCAATGTGTCTCTGTTCTTGTAAGTGTTCTCACTACTAGTCCTTAGCTCTAGGTTGGATGTAGTTGCATGGGACCTCTTGGGGACCAATATGTCCAATATGTCTCTGTGCTTTAAAGATCTGGAATCAGAGCTGAGTCTTCTCGGTGCTCAGCATCAGCTTGTGAAGAACCAAAGCCCAGCTTTCCTTGTCCTGCAGGAGGCTTAAGCGCAGCCTAATTTCCTAGGGCCATGGGAACCTCCAGCTTCAGCCTATAGCAGTAACATGCCTCTTCTTCCTATTTGGTTGAGGTTTTTCTTTTTCCTAGTCATTTAAAATCTAGGGATCACCTTGATTCTCTTGGGAAGGAGGAAAGAATACAAACTCTACATAGCAAGAGGCAAAAACATGAGCTAGATAAAGTGTTTACTTGGTTCCAAGCCATATCCACATGTTGAGGAGACTTGTGCTCCCTCTGAGGTGTCCTGATTACTTGTCCATGCCAGAGAGGGAGGATAACACTTTCTGGGACTGTGGGCCAAGGTGGGCGTGGAGAGTCCGATCCACAGAAAGAGTGATGGGAGTTGGAATAATGGAGGCACGAGGTAGGGAGTTGGAGACACAGACAAAATTTAGGGTCAAGAGATGTATTTCTGGTGTAGGGGATGTGGTTGAAGGATACACACGGATGACATAGAGGACCCTGGGAGCCAGAAGAAATCAAGTTTCTCAGTTTTCAGCAGAGAGTTAGCTCTACTGCTCTATATTTAAACCAGGTATTGGTTTCATTGTTGAATACTCAGAAGATGAAGTTTCATGTTTTTATAGCAGAGAAAATAAAAATACTTAAACATAAAGGAACCCCCAGAATAATGATGCACAGTCACTGTGGAGCTTTACCCATGTATTTTAATAGTTCTTTCTACAGTTCATCTCTATCTATCTATCTATCTATCTATCTATCTATCTATCTATCTAAATATCTGTCTCTATGTTTCAGTCCTGTATCTGCTCATTCTCTCCTCCCATTCATGTTTAACTGTTGTTTTAAAAAAGCATAATATAATATATTTCCTAAAAATTAAGCATCCCATGTAATCTTCTGTTTTATTAATGTATAGTATTCAACATTAACATGAAAAACTGTCTATATACAAAATGTGATAGTATGAGAATCTTGTTCCTTTAATTTTTACTGCTATAAACAGTGTGCATATTCTTAGAAATCATTGTGCACATTCATAACCATTTATTTTTCTTCCTTTTTTCTCAGTTTTTCTGTTTTCCATGCTATACATCAAACCAAGGTATTTTGACATGCCGTGCAAGTACTGTGCCACTGAGAAATAACCCCACCTTTTCCTAATTATTTTTCTTCAGACAAATGTTCATTAGTAGAATTTATGAAGCAGCATTTGTTGCTAGGAATGCCAAGTGTTTGTCCAATATTTTGATTGTCATCATAGGCATATACCACATGCTTTCAATATTATCTCTTACTTTGAGTCTTGGCTATAAAGTTGTCTTGAGAGAATGGAGCCTGAGAAACAAAAGGAAAAGTGAGGAGCTGTCAAATCCACAGAGTGGTGGTGTCTCTGGCTAGGACAGAGGATCAAGTAGAGGTAGCTTTACAGAATGAATAGTCGCCAATCTCTTCCCTGTAAATATCAACTTTCTTCTCCACTCCCCTGTCAGGCATTGTCTCCTCTGGCCAACAACCTCTTCCACAGGGCTATTTCTCAGAGTGGAGTGGTGTTCACTGCTGGCATGTTCACTAAAGATGTGATGCCTGTGGCTCAGGTAGGTTTCTCTCCGGTCAGGTAAAGTATATTCTTCTGATCTTCTGGAATTCATTGGGGTGTTTCTTGATGTGCAATTCAGTGTAGATACTTAAAGGATCATTAAAGTGAGACTGGCTGAACACTAATGGATCTTTCAGAGCTCACATTTAAACAACACTCTATTTTATATTTTCTAATGACTCATCTTATGTAGGTCTCCTGGAACTCTACATAAGCTTTATTGTTTTGGAGACATGATACATATTTCAGCAATTTACCTGTATTACTTCTTTTTATAAGAGAAGTACAGTGATAACCCGCATGTATGAATGGGGAAAGAAAGGTCTGAAGAGGTTGAGGGACTTGCTGGAAGACAAATAGTGAGGAAGTAAAGGAGTTGGGATTTGAAACAAGACAGTAAAATCCTGGATAAAAGTTCTATATCTCCAGGCAAAAACCTCTCTTGAGACTTTCAAGTTTGAGAATATTGTCTGTCTGTCTATCTGTCTGTCTGTCTACCTATCTATCTATTCTGATACTACAGATAAACTTTGTGGCAATTTTATCTGAGATAAACTAACAGAGACATGCGTATTGGGTTACTGTGTCATGCAACAATTCCAGTTAATAAAGAAGCAACACTCTGTGGTGGCCGAGAACCCACACATTTCATTTTAAGCTACCTCCTTCTGCATTTGGGAACTGGGTTTGGGATAGCACTCATCTATGTACATTCCTAGAGGGAAAGGACATTGCTCTGGACTCTGTTATTACTTTCTATCACTTCAGAGAATTGCTGATATTGCTGGATGCAAAACTACCACATCAGCTGTCATGGTTCACTGCCTGCGCCAAAAGACAGAGGATGAGCTTTTGGAGGTGACAAAGAAAATGGTAAGTTGGCTCCACCCTAGTGGCCCCATTCTGTGTACTTGGTTCCAGAGTTTAGTTTTTAAATTCCTTCTTGCAGTGATTAAACCACCTGGGATTGTGTCTTATCTTTCAGCAGCACTGTTAGGGTACTCATCCAAATAGGGAGTTTCATTTTTTTTTATTATGAAGTAGCACAAATGTCAAAAATATCCAATAATAACATGAAAACATATGTAACAATCCTCCCTTTCTTTCAACTATAATATTTTGATAGTCTCATTTTCATATTTTTTTAAAGAAATTGAATAATATATATTTCTGCAAGTAACTACCATCCTGAATATTGGGATGGGGACATTAGGTACAAAAATTTTCAGAAAAGTATCACAGTTTATCTTGGTTGATTTAGAATAGAATTTAGAATTTAGATAAAAATTATAGCACAGCAGCAGCCCAGTTTTATAGGCTTATTGATAACTCTGACTCAGTTAGGATAGCTTGTCTCTATCCATCACTGATCTATTATCTCCCACCTAACTTTTCATCTATGCATCCTTCTTTCCATGCAATTCATTAACAATTCCATCACTCTTGTACTTATTAGCCCATAGCTTCCATTTGTCTATTTTAATCTGTTTTTCTTTCATGAGTTATTAAACAAATGTCTAAATTGCTTCACCATGTAATCCAGTTCCTTTTTTTCCCCTTCATATATGGTGCTAGAGATCAAACCCAGGGCCTTGTGTATGCAAGGCAAGAACCCTACCACAGGGCCACATCCTCAACATCACTGAGTACCCTAAAAGCAATGACACATCCATCACCCATCTGCCAGTTGTCATATGTTTACCCATGTATCAATTCAGTTATATGTGTATTTACCAAGTCATTCGTCCATCTTTCCATGCTTAGTGTCTAGGAGGGTACTGACAGAGGAGGTGATCTGAACATGTATCGATCGTATTGTGCTTTCACAAAGAACAATCCAAGGAGAAACAAAACCATATACTGAGGGGACTAAGTATTTTGGGAGTACAGAAAGGAGACACATTCAAAATAGCCAGCAGTGATGCTTCTCAGAGAAGATGACATTGATGCATCTGTCATCACAGGGAAGCTTAGCAGGAAAAAATATCCAGAGAAAATAGTATCCAGTGCCTATGGAAACTACTCCCGTTGTGAACAAGTTTTGATTGTGGTCTCATGAGTTACCTGAGCTTCTCAGTTCTCTATGTGAATCTCAACCCTGAAAGAAATTTCTGTGACTTCAGGGCAGGCCTGTAGTGCTGTGTTTTGCCAGTGTGTCCATGACTCTAACGTGGCCCTGGGGTTTGGTTGCTCATTCACTAGGTTAAGTAGGTTGTCTAAGATACTCAAATTGTTAAGTCATTGATACTGAACATCTGAATAAAGGGAAGTATTTCATTCATTCTCACATGACACAAGATGATGCAGTTTATACAGAAATAATCAGTGACTTCAGGAAATTCCAAGGAAATTACGATTCCAGGAAATTTTTCTGAGTTGTTGTGGAAGTGCATCCATGATTACCATTGCTTTCAGTACACACACAGGCACACACAGACACACAGAGTCACTGGGCTTGTGAGGGTTGCCTCCATAATGGAAGCATCAGAACTGCTCACTGTCCATGCATGTAAAATCAGACCTGTAAATCCTTGTAATCTTGGTGAACACATAACAAAGAGAAGCATGAATTGACATGAGATTCAGTGAGTTTGTGTGAGTCAGGGCCTCCTAATGCAAAAAACCAGAACCAAAACCAAACAACCCCCAAATCTCCTTTTAAAGTGACCTGAAGAAAAAAAGATTGTGATGTACCTGAATCCTCATATCACTGAAAATTTCTGATACAGAATGTATAGATCCATTTGGCTGAATCCAAAGGTCCTGAAGATATTGAGACCCTACATGGCCTATCACTCAGCTTCTTGACTGTTTCACACTTATTCCCTGGGAAACTTAAAAAAACAACAATGATCTGGACTTCTACTAGTTTAGAAATCATATATCATAAAATTTCAGCATAAGATTTTATGTACACTCTGTTAGACTGACCCTGGCACATGTCCATCTTTTTCCTAATGTCTGTGTTTGGGGATGTAGAGACCCCAAGTTACATATACCCACCCAAAGTCATGAAGTGGGAGAGAAAAGAAAACAGGAGACGGTGAAAAATGGGAATTCCATCTCCTTCCACTTCACCTCTTGCCTGGTCAACCATTGTAGGTACCACATTCACCCCATTACAATTCCCTTCCACTTTTCCCCAAGAGAAGGACTGAGGTTATGTTACCAGGGAGAGGAAATAGGGGAAAGGATGAGGAGGTCAGTTATCAATAGCAGATGTCCGCTGAAGAGTTTCAGAAATCCGGATTTGGAGTTATCTGCCTTACCCTCTCTTGCTGGTAGCTGCCTCTCCCTGTCCTACTGTGCCACTCTGTGCTCATGCCTAGCAGATCCTGTATACTGCCCTTCTCTGGAACCAACCAAAGAGGAAGTAGGAGAAAAATCATGGTACATCTGGGGCACAGTGCAAAAGAATGAGCTTTTACCCTAGAAAGTCTTCTCACGACATCTTCTGCCTTTGTCTTCACAGAATCTTCTTGGTGTGGATTTATTTGGAGACCCCAGTGAGGTAAAGATGTTTCTTTTCTTGATTACAGGTTTTGATTCTTTATAACTTTAAGCTCTAGTTAACTGTTAAACAAAACGTTCTCCTTTGGGTAATTATAGATCCTTCTTGTGTGCATATTAGGACCAGAGAACAAAACTCTACTTTCGCTTTTATGTTATTTCTGTCTTATGGGGCAATTTTGGAAATCAGCACAAAAGAAAGCTACAGAAGCAAAAGCACTGATTGAAAGAAAATAAACAGTAGTGAAGTATGTGGAGGAACTTCAGACAGGCCTTTCTAAGTCTGCTGTGTTTTACTGATGTTTATCTCACAGCTGAACCTGTATATGGCTAGGTCAAAACCACCAATCTCGTCATCTAAACTGCATCAAATTCCCAAAGCAGCTTAGCTGTGCAGTTAACCCATTGTTGTCCAGTTTCATCCCAGGAGATGGTCTCTTCCTGCAATACAACCAGGAGCATTAAAGACTAAAGTGCAATGCATTACCTGATTTCCAGTGCAATGCTCCCAGTCAGCAAATTTGTACACTCTGGTCATTCACATTTCCTGCTTTGAAAAGGCCTCATTGAAGGAGAGTTTTTCAGAATCTTTTACAGCTAGGAGTTGTTCAAGCCTGGATAAGAGGCTCTAGCATCTTTTATGAGGACAGGTCTGGGAGGACACAGGAAGCCTAGGATCCTGGCACCAAGAAAATCTTTGGAGTCCTCCTACATGTTCTTTCTTGTCATTTTCCATGGGGTTGTTAGGGTCTGGTGCCATTAACTGTACAAGATCTTACAATCCTGTCCACTCCACAGTCTTCCTGGAGATCACAACACTTCTCTTAAAGGTCTTGTGAGGATGAAATAAGATTTATTCAGTCATTCAGCAAAGATTTATGAAGGCATTTTATGTATCAGAATCTGAAATAGTTGTTGGGTGATAGACAGTGATAGACAGGGATGGAGTTTGAGGGGGCACTGGAAGAACTAAGCATTGTCATTCTGAACAAGGTGGGCAGATGGGTAGGCCACAGGGCTCTGGCTAGACCAGTGATACACCTCCAATTTTACAAAGAACTTTGAAGTGTGAATTAGAGGGCAGGAAAGAGACAGAACAAATTCTTGGAGACTACCTGGGAGAGCTCTGCTTGTCAATAACATAGGCCAAGGGTTATGCCTGATCATACCAGGGCTGGAGCAGTGAGAAGGAGACATGTGGGTGGTGTCTGGAGGCATTTGAAGGAAGAGCTGACAGGGTTTGTTGAGGAACAGAGTGTGAGGTGTAAGGCAAATTGAGGAGCATGCTCCTGAATTTTCTGACTTAAGCAAGACCATGCAGATATCTCACAAGGCAGATACGAGTGTCCACTGAGAGACAGTGGCCATCACTGTCATTCTAATGGTTAGTGATGTCAGTATTCTCCTATGAAAGAACCCCTAGAGCCCTCATTGCTTGCCTTCTGCACCTTTTCTATTTTCTGCCTCTTTTTTGCCTCTTCCACGATGTTACCAGACTTGCCCTTGTAAACCTAAGCTAGAGTATCTCGTCCCTTGTGGTAAGTCTGATCTTGTTTATATGATAAATTGTCTTTCTTCTATTTAGTCTTAACTAAAAAAGTGTCATTTAGGCACCTTTAGTGGTAAGTTTAATATCCTTAGCTTTAGAGATAAATAGGTACACACAATTGAAGCTTAGCAATCCAGGATTCTGTACTTCTGAATTCACTTACTTGGTAAGTTTATTTATAACCTTCAAGTTAGTGCTTGTGAGACTCCTGTGGTCATCTACAATGAACTTATTGACAGAGCACTGAACAATTTAAGTCACATTATGCCCATGTACCCATGCGAGTTCACAGGAGAAAGTCTGTTTTATGGCTCCTTCTGTCATACTAATGGATTTCTGTAAATGCTCCATTTCTATGCATTATTTACTTTTTCTACTTAATTCTTGAATTAAAACAGCTCTCAAGCATAGTGTTGAAGCGCTGTCTACTGTTCCTAAGCACAGGAGGGTGTGATGGGCCTCATGGAGAAAATACATGAGATAGATTAAACTATATTCAGGCTTGCCTTATGATTCTTCGCTGTAAATTCAGTGTTAATGAGTCAAAAATACTGCAAATCCAAGATTTGCTTATTTCTATGTGAGTCCATTTTGGAAAGTAGTAAAAGTATCTATCTTACTGGTAATGGCAGTGTGTAATGTGGCTATGAAAAAGATGCAAATGCTCCTCAATTTGTGGATTGCTGAGATGATTAATTTATAAAAAGCATTAGCATTGTTATGAAGCAGAAGCTGAAGAAGTTTACAATTATCTAGGGTAGTGAGAATTTTCAACCTTTCCCAGGTGGTGTTTTATTTTATTATAAGTAAATATTATTTTTATTTATTTTTTACACTGTCTGGATTCCATTGCTGTCTTTGTATTAGCTTTATGAGCTGACAGATGATTCTTGATTTTGTATTTTTGAGACAGGATCTAACTATGCAGTTCAGGTTGGACTTGAGCTTAATTTTGTAGCTCAAACTGGTCTCAAAATTGCCACAATCCTCCTACTCAGCCTCCGCAGTGCTGATATCACAGGCCTGAGCCACCACGCCTAACTTATAAGTAAATTGGATATGTAATTCATTTTTTCTAACAAGTTTGTATTATATAGCAAGCATTTAAACAGAACCTACTATATAGAACAAGAGCAATGATAATGTGACAGATAACCCCAGGACCCTAACTGTGGAAGTTCCTTTGGAGCATTTACCTGGTATTCACTAGCTCAGCATTCATTGAGATTTTACATATATAACTATTATAAATATCAGAATCAACTTTTTGTATTTTGTAATGAAATATATTTTAATTTGGGTGATGATTCTCCTTCTCTTTTCCCACCAGTATCACTTCATCACTACTAGCATGGCCACTAGCTTGCCACATTTCTGCCCTTGGTGTCTCACAGATATAGCCTTGTCGTTAGGACCCTGAGTTTCAGTGGCCACTTACCACCACTGGGGTGAACTATGATTCTTTCCATATGCTCATACAGAGAGAGAGAGAGAGAGAGAGAGAGAGAGAGAGAGAGAGAGAATGTATGATCATCTGCAGCAGAATAATCACAGACATTATGTTGTCCTCTTTCTCAGCACTATCCCTTTATTCCTGCTGTTGTTGATGGTGTGCTGCTGCACAAGACACCTGAGGAAATTCTGGCAGAAAAGAATTTCAACATCGTTCCCTATATGGTAGGAATCACCAAGAATGAATTTGGCTGGATCATTCCAATGGTGAGTACGTACAGGCCTCTGAGACAAATACATTTCCTGTATACATTCAACATCATCCTTCTGATTTCTGGTCCCAGGAGGAGATTGTCCTTCTCCAACATTCCTTTGATTTGCTTATCTTGACACCAGTGGAATTTTTTTTTGCATAACTTCCCTGGATGGCACATGTGTCACTTTGGATGCTATAGCCTAAGGATCCTCTTCCTAAAACAATTTTTGATTGCCTTTCTTTTAAATAACATTGCAATGTCCAGCCTTAAGGTTCTTCACAGATAATAATTGTGCATTTGGATGAACTGAGGAAATGTAGATAGGTTAAGAGGCTGAGGAATCTTGGAGAGATAGGATCAAGTTCAACAGCTTCTACTTTGGGGCCCGACTCATAACTCCCTTGAATCTCCACTTGTGCTTTTAGGCACTTTGTAGGAAATATTCTGCTTCAAATATCTTCTTCCTTTTTTTGGGATAGGTTTTATTCAATAATTTTATCACAACAGGAAAAAAATCAAGCATGACCTGAACTTGAATTGCTGACACCAAAGAGTAAAGCAATTCAAGATCAAGGAAATCTCTGGGTGTGAGGTATGAGATCACAGGATTAGGTCACTGGATTTGCTGTTCACCCATGAGTACCCAGTACTCATTTGTAGGAGAAAGACTCATTGTCATGAGAGGAAGCAGAAATGTAGGTTGAAGTGAGGCCCCCACTGAAATGTCAGAGATATCAAGTGTCATTTCTCCATGTGCTTATATTTCAAAGCATTTCCAAAGAATTAGTTCTCTGGGCCTTAGAAAAACTGTTTTGGGTGAAAAATTGACACTTCAAAGATCAGACAAGTATTGATAATTGTAAATTTTCTAATATAACTGCTTTAAGGGAGGATTCATAATCTCTGCACGTGATCAGGCATTGTTCTTTCTCAAGCAGGCATTTTAGGGATCCAAGGTGATGCTAGGACATGACTTTAAGCAGCAAGAAAACAGGCAGCACTTGGGTCGAGTGACTGAAGAGATTTGGACACAGTTGTCTCACACAGAGAATTCTTCAGTTCTCATTTCAAAAGCATCTCAGTGGTCATACCAAAGAACCAAAGATATAATGGTGATTTAGTTCTCATTAGTATTCTGAGTCTGGGGTATATACCCAGGAATTCCATGTCCCTGAGCCCTCTGCTTCTAGAATACCTTGGCTTAAATATTTCTAAACAATCCCTTGTTGTCTGCCTAAACATGTGCCCCTATTTCTAGATATATACCTGTATCTATATCTGTATCATCTCTATCTATCAATCTATCTATCTGTCTGTTGGTCTGTCTATGTCTGTGTCTCTGTGTCTCCCTCCTCATTGAGCCTCTTTGAGCTTCTAGGTATGTCCATTTGTTTCTTTGATGTCTTCAAAGTCATGAAAGATCAGGCTTATCAGGTTCCAACACAGGCCCTTCATTCTACATTAGTTTGCTTTGTTTCCTGTTAATTCATGATTACTTACAAATACTTAATCATTCTATTAACAGTTGATGAGAAATCCAATCCCTGAAGGCAAACTGGACCAGAAGACAGCCACATCACTCTTGTGGAAGTTCCATCGCTTTGTTGTAAGCATGTAGGGAATTAGTACAAAAACAATGAAGGGTTTGGGGCTTGCCCAAAATTACAGACCAATTCAGTTGCATACAAAGGACTAGGACCAGCAGTCTAGCCCATTTTTCTGCCTTTCCCACTTTACTATTGGGGGATGTTTTGCACAGAGCTCAAGAATTTCATCATCAGTGAGGCCTTGTTGACTAGAGAATCCACATTACTCACCAGGTGGGGTTGTCACTTTCTTGATGTATTTCAGAATATTCCTGAGGAACTGATAGCAGTGGCCACTGAGAAGTATTTAGGAGGAACAGATGACCTTGTCAAAAAAAGAGAACTGTTCCTGGACTTAATAGCAGATTTTATGTTTGATATCCCATCTGTGATTGTGGCCCGTGGCCACAGAGGTACGTCCTAGAAAACAAACAAACCCTGGCTTTGGTTTTTGACCTGCCCACCTCCCATCTAGACCGATATGGAAAATATCGAGGGTCAGGGCACAAGACTGATTCCATATCCCCTAAGGAGGGGCTCTGCCCTATTTTGCTTCCATCAGGAGCTGACCCTGAGTAAAGGATTCAAATACAAGTTGGTAACTTGGGACATGATAATAGTAAACACCAGTGGGGAGAGATAAGCAAATGACATGAGCAATAGATAGAATCTAAAATGATGCAGAGTGTAGCATGTGCCTACTATGTGAAACTAGGGCTAGAGAGCTACGGGAATGTCAAAGAGAATATGAATATCAGGGTTTTCCTGTCTGAGCAACAAGGAACTGGGCATTTATCCACTAATACTTGCATGTCAGTGGTTCAAGACAGTTGCAAAGGTTTTTGATCTGCCCACTTTCATATTCTGATTTCTCGTATACATGAACCAAGTGGTTTATAATGGCCAGACAAAAGCATGAGAAAAGGTGGTGGAATCATGGATTATGAATGAGGCACCAGCGGTGATTGCCACAGTGGCTCCTTCCCTGGGATGAGGGTAATATGTGCGACTAGACTGCAAATACTGAATAAAAGGTCTTGGAATATTTTCAGAGTAAGAATTAGATTTAACCCAGGCTAACTAGCGGATCTGGGGGAAGAATAGGAGACAAGCACAGGATAAGATCAGTTAACCAGGAGCAAGAACAGCAAAAGCACAGAGCAGCAGCTGGTGCAGGATGGGGGATAGTATAGTCATTTTCAATACCTGCCAGGGTTTTTTTTTTTTTTTTTTTTTTTTTTTTTTGGTCTGGTGTGTGCCAGGGTGGCAAGCTCAGGTTCAGGATGGGATCTATCACAGGATCATCTGACACTGACCAATGCTGTGTAGATGGCATGTGAGTTTAGGTATAGGTGAGCTCACTGAGATGGAGGTTTTCTCCCTCTGGGTTCTATTTTTGAACCTCACAAAATGCTTTCTTTGGTACTAGGACCCATTTAGCAAGTCTTTTACTTCAAGACTTCTCTACCTAACATTCTGGAAGGGTTTTTAAATTCAGAATTTAATAAATGTTATAAAAACTAATCTTCATGTTCTTCTTTCACTATTTCATTTTGTAAGCAAATTTAGGGCATGGAGAGAATACTATACGATAAAACATTTTGAAAAAGAGAATGAGAGTGATTTGTTTAAATTTTTAAAATTGTAAATTTTCAAATTATATTTTATAAATTTATGCTGTAAACATTTATGATATGATTTAGATACAAACCATAATAATAATTATTATATTATGATTTATGAATACAAATTAGAATAATTATCTCAAGCTGATGACCATATATCTCCCTAGTAGTTGAACATTTGCTGTCATGAGAATATTTTTTATTCCCCTAGAAATTTAATTGAGCAATATTCTATTATTTATTACATTCATCACACTGTGAAATAGAACTAAAGAAGAAAAAAGGAAACAATTTTTTATCTATGATTCTGTAGCCTTTCATCATGAACTCTTCCTTCCCTTAATAAAAACCTATATCAATACCATTTTCTCTCTAGTTTTAAGAGTTTTAGATTCCGCATATTAGTGATGACAAGATATGTGTCTTTCTTTGCCTGACTTATCTCAAGCATAATGTTCTCCAGTTTTATAACTGCTGTCATGAAACATAGAATTTCTTTTCTTTTAAGACAAAATAGTATCCCATTGTGTGTAGAATACCACATTGTCATTGCCCATTCTTCTGCTGACAGACACAGGTTGATTTTATAACCTGACCTCTGTGAATAGCACAGCAAGGAACATGGCAGTAGAGAGTTTGCTTTAACAAACTCATTTCAAATAATACTCAGAATGGGAATTAATGGGTCAAATAGTAATTATAGATTTAGTTTTGTGAAGTGTCAAAATGTCCCTTCTCCACTACCTTTTCAGCACTTTGTTTTTCCTTATTTATTTTTTAATGAATGCCATTATTACTGTCAGGAGATAATATCTCATTGTGATTTTAAGTTACATTTTCCTAATTGCTAGTGATGTGGAACATTTAAAAATTTGTTTTAATTTGCAAGTCATCTATAAAGAGATGAAAATTCAAGTCCTTTGCTTAGTTTTTAAATTAAGCTTTTGTTTTGCAGTGCAGATGTTTGAGCTTCGTCTATATGCTTTACTTAATAAACACTTGTCATATGTATGACTTGAAGATATTCTTTCTCAGTCCGTAAGTTTTCTATGCATACTGTTAATTTTTTTTTAATCCTGAGAAGTAGGATTTTAGTTTGAGGTAATCTTCTTTGTCTGTTTTGTGCTTGTGTTGCTGCTTATGCTTTTAGAGTTAAACATAAAAGATCATTTTCCCTGACTCAAAAACTGTTAAAATTTCTCATAGTATATTTTAATTTTTAAATATTTTAGTTGATATTTGTATTGTGACAAATAATAGTTCAATTCCATTATCATGCATGTAGAAATTCAGAACAGTTTACTAAAGAGACTCACTTTTTTCATTGCATATTCTTGATAAATTCATCAAAAACCGGGTGACTGTATAATTGATTTCTGGGACGTATATTCTATCCTTTGGACTCTGTGTGTGTGTGTGTGTGTGTGTGTGTGTGTGTGTGTGTGTGTGTGTGTCTATAGCCATTACTATAGATTTGTAATATCTTTTGGAACTCTGGTAGTGTGATATCTCCAGTTTTGTTCTTTATGTTCAAGATTTCACTGGTGACTTGGGATTTTTTTGTGGTTTATTTGATTTTGAAGATTGTTTTATATTTCCTTGAAAAACGACATTGGAATTCAATTAAGAATTTCACTTAAGTAGCAGATGCTTAAGGGTAATATACACATTTTAGCATTATAAATTCTTTCTGTCCATGGATGTAGAATTTTTTTTCACTATTTGTGTGTTCTTCAACTTCTTTTATCAATATTTTCTGATATTTAATGCACAGATATTATACCACTTGGGTTAAATTCATTCCTAGAAAAATTTTTTTAAAAATTGTTTTTGCAGCTAGTATAAGTGACAATACTCTCTTGAATGGAATTTTCATATATGGTCTTTGTTGTGTTGAGTTACATTTTTAAAATCTCCAATTTGGCGAAATTTTTAATAATGAAAGGTATAGTTTTTGTAAGTTTCTTTTTCTGCTTTTGATGGGATATTTTTGTCTTTCAGTTTATGAGAAGATGTGTCATGTTTTATACACAGAGATAATAAATACTATTGATTGTGGTGGATTATACTTTTATTATGTTATTGAATTCAATGTGGTAGAATTCTGTGGAAGATTTTTATAATTAGGTTTATGAAGACCTGTAGTTTTATTTTATTTTTGTATATGGGGTTTTCAAGGAAAACAATTGCATACAGGACACAGCATATACAGTATTATTTTATGATAGTCACACAGAGTCAAATACAAGAAGTGCAGGAGATCTGTCCACACACTAAAGACCCAAGGAAATCTAGCCAAGGGCTTGGATCCCACAGCAATGTCCTGCATGAGTCCAGCTGAAGACTTTCAGGGCACTTTGGTTCTTACTTTGAGCAGCACTTGCTGGCTCTGGAGTAGAAGATGGAGGGGAAGATGGCCTATTACAATGCTCTCTACAAGTCCAACTGGAGCCTTAGGGTCCCGACAATGGCTCAATAAAGTCAATTTCATGCATCTGTGCTGGGAAGTTCCAAATATCAGTGGGTGGAAACTAGAAAGTGTGTACCAGTAGTGTGAAAGACCTATGCCAGTAGGATGAGTATTCTACATTGGAGCCAGGAAACAATGCTCAGAGTAAGGACCACAGCCATCCTCAGTGATAATAAGGTATCAAGCCCTCTGATGGTGAGAACAGCAGAGTTCAGGTAAGAAAGCCAGAATGACAAGGTTCTCCCAATTGAGCAGCCCACCATCCCCCCCCCCCCGAGTCAGAAAGTGTTGTTCAAAGTAAAAATCAAAGCTCCCCAAAAGTGAATCTCAGCCATTCTCAACAAGTGCCTGGGGCTCCACAACCAGCTTGCTGTGAGGAACCCAAGAGAATGTCAAGACAAAGGAGCAAAAGGCAATCTCAGACTCTAGCCCACACAGAACAAGTCTGGAAGATACCGTCATGGAAGAAAACAGAAGTCACACACCTGAAATCTCTGAGAGGATAGCAGCTGAAGTAAGGAAACAACTTCAAGAGATTGTAAAAGCAGTCAAATCAGAAATAATGTCTCAGATAAAAGAAGAAATCACAAACATACTGAAAGAATTGTTCATCAGGTCTAAAGAAGACATAGAAAAAAAAAAGAAGAGCATAGGAAAATGATGGAAACCTTGAATGAATATATAAGGGAATTGCAATGCATGAAACAGATTGAAAGAGAAATCTGCAAAATTAAAAATTCAATCAAAAGCTGGAAAAACCACTTGAAAGAAACTGAAGATAGACTTTCAAACCTTGAAGATAGGATTACAGCTAGTGATCGTGAAAGGAAAGAGCTCTTAAAAGCAACATAGAATCAGGAAATAACAACTAAATGGCTGCAAGATGATGCAAAGAAACGTAATTTAAGAATGACAGGTGTTGGTAAAGAAGCAAGGGTCAACAAAAATGAAATTAAAAGAATATTCACAGAAGTAATAGAAGAAAAATTCCCAAACTAGGGAAATGGATCTGGCATGTAGGTAAGTAAGACATATATAGGATTCCAACTAACCAAAGTATATCTACACCCAGACTTATAATAATCAAGAGCCCAGAAATTCAGCACAAGAATACAATATTAAAAGCTGTTAGAGAAAAGAGACAGATTGCCTATAGAGGTAAACCAATCAGAATCACAGCAGACTTATTATCAACACAAACCATCAAGTCAAGAAGAGTTTGGAGTGAAGTGTTTCAAACCCTGAAAAAAACTTCCAACTCAGATTTATCTACCCAGCAAAACTATCTTTCAAAATTGATGGGAAAATAAGATACTTTCATGATAAAGAACAACTGAAGGAATTCATGACTACCAGTCAACCCTACAGAGTGTGCTAAAGGATATTCTAGAGAGAGATAAGGATGACCATGATTCCAGGAACAGTAGCAGAGGAGGATCACCAAGCAAGAGAGGCAATTGAACTAAGGGGAAATGTGGAGGTCAAATAACAAGAGGATAGCATGGTAGAGACAAACCAATGTATGCTGGTTGTAACCATTAATGTAGATGGTCTCAGGTCAGCAATAAAAAGAAACACAGGGAGAGGGGATCAAGAAACATGATCCATTTATATACTCTATACAAGAAACACATTTAACTTCAAAGGAAATTCATAGACTGAGAATTAAAGGAGAGGAAACACTTGTTCCATGTGACAGGAGACCAGAACAAAGAAAGGGTAACCACAGAATGGATAAGGAAGGTATAGCATTTTCATGCAGTGGAAAGCTACCCAGCTATAAAGCAGAACAATCTTGAGGCTCTTGCAGGTAAATGGATGCAGCTGGAGATCATCTTCATGGGTGGAACAGTTCAAACTCATATGAGTGAATCCTAGCATAAGAAACAGAAGGAGTTAATGGGCTCCAAAAACCAAATAGTTATTGTAAGAGTGACAGAGGAGGAAATTCCTGGGAGGGGAAAGGTGATAACTACTGTTAATTTCTTATTACCTTGTCATGAACTGTTGTACTGTTTTCATAATTTTGTTAGGTTTGGCATTGTTCTGTCTTGTTTTGTTAGATGTTACTCTATCTGATGATAGCAGCAGCTATTTTGAATATAATGGGATATATTACAGTAATTTTGGTTTCCTATTATATTACTTTGAAACCTTATATTGCTTTCATTTTATTTTATTCTGTTTTGTTTGATTTTATTATGTGTGATGGTATGAATAACTATTCTGAAGAAAATGAGACATTACCTTAGCCATTGCTGATTTCCTATCATCTTGCTTGGAAGTCTTACCATGCTTTTGTTCTTTTGTTTTGCTTGGTTCTATCCTGTTGTGTTTTATTTGATTTTATTATGTGTGATGATATGGACAACTTTTTTGAGGAAAATGAGATATCATAGTAGCCATTATTAATTTCCTATTATCTGGTTTCGAAGTCTTGTAATGTTTTCATTCTTTTGAATACTTTTATACTATTTTGTTATGTTTGTTATTATTGTGTGTGAAGGTGTGGTCAACTATTTCAAAGAAAACAAGAGACGTGTGGTAGCCACTGTTGATGTCCTGTTGTCTTGTTGGGAAGTGCTGTGTTGCTTGCATTGTTTTGTTCTGATATGTTTTATTTTATTTTCTTTAAAATAAAAAAGAATTAAAAAATACACTTGCTATAATTTCAGGTTTCTTAAGTTAACTTAGTCTTGTTTTGTGCCCCATTGTGTGATCTACTCTGGAGAACCATTTTATGTGTACTTGAGAAGCATGTGTATTATGTTAATTTTGGATTGGGTATTGTATACATTCATGTTAGATTCATTTGGTTCCAAGTTCCATTCAAATATAACGTTTTATTTTGGATATTCTACCTGGATGACTGGTCAGTTATTAAAAGTGGGTTATTGAAACCCCCTACTCTTTAGTGTATTATAATCTATCTTTTACTCGGGTCTTTTAATATTGAATTTATATGCTTAGTTGGTCTGATGTCAAGTGCAAATATATTTAACATTTTATAGCCTCTTGAAGAATTGACCCCTTCATCAGAAAATAATGTCTTTATTTTTCTTTTTTAATAGTTTTTGATTACACTCTGTCTTCATCATAACTACCTACCTATATTTCCTTTTAGCTTCCATTAGGATATGATAAGATTTTCAGTGTTTTACTCTGAGTTTATGTTGTCTTAAAAGGTGGTGTGAGTTTCCTATATACTGTAGGGATATGGGAAAAACTTAGATCTTTTTAAAATTTCAGTCACTTTGTGTCATGTTTTGGAGAATTTAATCAATGTATATTTAAGAGAAACAAGGAATTGTAAATGCCATTTCATTAGGAATTTTCTTCTTGTTTTGTAAATACATTTTTTATTTCAGTCTCTTTTAATGTGATTTGATGATTTTGTGCAGTGGTATACTTTGAATCTTAATTGTGTGTGTGTGTGTGTGTGTGTGTGTGTGTGTGTGTGTGTCCTATGTGATTTTACTAAAGATTTTTACCTTATTACCATAGAGCTATATATAACAGATTTCATTTACAGAAGTCTCTTTTAAGCTGACAACAACTTAACTTTGACTGCATAGAACAGCTTCATACTACTGGAGTCGCCTTCAATTTGTATTGTTTATAGCAGAATTTATAGCATTTTGTGGCAGAAATTTCTTTTACCTGAGGTTGTGGACTTATTTTAGCAGTTTTTATTTATAAAGGTTTTGCTCTTAGCCCTTTTACTGGGAATAAAATTCCTGTATGTATTTTTATGTGGTCTTACAGTGTCCAGAATATGATTCTGATTCATTGAAAATTGAGTTTTATCCTTTCATATGTTCCATACTACTAATTATTTTCTTTTTTGTTAGACTTCAGAGAATTCTGCCTAGCAATTCCTGTAAAGCAAGTCTAGAGTCATAAGCTTTGTGTGGTTTGGTCATATTGTCATTTTCCCTCATCTCTGAAGGACACCTATCCCACATACAGTATTTCATGTACGGCAGACACTTTTCCTTTAGTGCAGTAAGCATATGCTCCTACTCTTTTCTGGCCTCAGAGTTCCTAATGTGAAATCTGCTGATTGATATCTGGGCACATCTTTGCATGCAGTGTCTGATTTCTTCATGCTCTCATATTTTTTCTATGTCTTTGATTTTTGAAATTTCAATAATGTGCTTTTGTGATCTTCTCTTTTACTGAAATTTGCTTGAGCCCAATATGCTTTCTGTATATTTTGGCATCTACTCCAGTTTTCACCTATAATTTCTTCAAATATAACTTTTGGTCCTTCCCTTTTTTCTTCTTCTTCCTGTCCTATTATGCAAATTCTTGGTTTCTTAATGGTTTCTATTTCTCTTTTTGTTCATAATTGCTAATTTCCAAACTCTGTGACCTACTTTCTATTGAAAGATTGTGGATATAGGAAATTAATAACTCTACATGGTTTAAGGTTGAAAGTTCACTTTTAAAGTATCTTGGGCAGCATGCTGTGTAAAATAAGTTCGCTCACTGACAATTCTTTCCTTTATAACTGAATTCTGGGATCCTTTCTAAAATGATCAATTTACAGATGGAGGTTTTAAAACATTGTTTTTTGATACTTTTTAAAACTGCACTTAAAATATTTTGCATGTATTCATGAGGAGAAAGAGAAATATCTCCTCCAGCTTGATTGGGGCTTGATCTTCCTTCTCTTAGTCTTACTTCTCTGTGGACTGTATGGTTGCTGCTACCTGTTGACCTCCTCAGACTTGAGATCCATCTGTTAGTCCTAAACAAGCAGAGTTTGTGGCTATGATGATCTAATCAGAAAATATAGACTCTTAGGGCTTAGACATTGGAGTAAAAACATGGCAAAATTCAGAGGAAGAGAACTCTGTGCTCACCCTGAGTTTGTGGTTTCCTGAAACACAAGATACAGATTGTTTCGTACATTCATATATTTGTACTTAAGAATCCTCATTTTCAGGAAAGCAGCTTGAATTTTTTACTTTTTTAGCATGGGTGAGAAAAACTTTGGAAATTCTCATGAGTAAGTGAAGAAGATGCCTATTGGGTTGTAGATGTCCTTCCCGTGAAGAAGCCATAATGAGTTATCAGTGAATCACTTCCTGTGTATTTATTAGATTCACTGCATTCGTTCATTCTTTAAGTCAATAAATACATACCTGATTAAAATTCAATAGAAAAATATTAGAAAACAAGAATAAAGAATAAAATGGAAACAAAGATTTATAAATAAGGAGAGATATAGGGGTTGAAGGGAGGGGAGGAGAATGGAAAAAAAAAGGAAGTAAGACGTATCATGGACAGGTGCCAATTCCCTATGATGAATGTGATCATTATGTATATCTAAATTGTACCAGTAGACTTAATTTAAAAATCCAAGTTTATTTCAACTTTGACTTAGCTTTAAGCACATCAAGAGATTCTCTGTTTATCCTGTTTGATAACCAGAGGTTTCTTGCACAGAGACATTGAATCATCCAAGTGTGTATCTAGTAGTGTAAACTGTGCATAATCATACCTTCTCAGATGCTGGAGCCCCAACCTACATGTATGAGTTCCAGTACCTCCCAAGCTTCTCATCAGACTTAAGACCCAAGACAGTGATTGGAGACCATGGGGATGAGATCTTCTCAGTGCTTGGGGCTCCATTTTTAAAAGGTAATGGCAATTTGTTGGTTAAGAACTTAGAGTTGGGAAGCCTGAGTTTTATCTTTTGTTGGATGGCCTTGAACAAATTTCTCCTCTTCTGCTCTTAAATTCCTAATTCTCTGTCACAGTTAATTATGTTGATCAGAACAGAGCATTTCACTTGTTCTCATGAATGAGGATGTGTATTCATGCGTCCCAGTTATAGTCACCATCATAGTGCTGGCCTGTGACTATAGTTAGAGGAGAAGTGGGTCATCTGCATGGCCTTGCTTGAGAGAAAGCACGCCACTGCTCTATTTACATCTCACTAGAGTCTGTCTTAATGTGAGCAAGGAGACATTTACAATTAGTGCTAACCTTAAATCAAGAGTTCTATTATCTGATCATCAGTGTGTGTATATAAACCTCATACATTTTCACCTAAAATATATTTAATAAGATAATATTTAATAAAATCTTTTCTCAAATATGTTTGGTCTTTCAGTGCCTTTTGACTTTTGACTCATCTCATGTCTGTTCATGACACATATGTAGTGCTGGGCATTTCCCACTTAAGTGATTCTTTAGGACCTTTGGAATTGTAATATTTTTCAGGCTGTATGAAAACATCAACATTTGTAGGAGAATAAAATATGATGCAACATCCAGTAGTTCTGTGAGGCAGACGAAAACCTGCCATGTGACATTATAATCCTGAGGCCAAGAGGTAGACACAAGAAAAAGACGCCAACATATAGATGGAATCCATGTCCATGGCTGGACTATAGGAAAGGCCAAGTGTCTGCATTTATTAAAAATTACAAGTGCCACTATTGCTGATGACGTACATTTAGTGTGCTAAGATTGTGGTTTTTTTTATTTCTTCTGTACAGAGGGTGCTTCAGAAGAAGAGATCAGCCTTAGCAAGACAGTGATGAAATTCTGGGCCAACTTTGCTCGGACTGGGTGAGGCTCATGGAAAAGGTGGAAATAGGGTCGGTGACAGTGTATGGTTGGGCACATCTGCTGGTATAGAGTATCTGCTACAGCTAGAATAATCAAACTCAGCCCTTGAGGCCATAGCACTGTGACAGTCAGAGCTCACTGAAAATACATAAGTTGTTCCAGGAGATGTGATTCTCCCTGTCTCTGGAATTGCATGGGTCTCTTTGTAGAGATAAGCCTAGGGAAACTGGAAGATTTCAGAAAAATGTGAGTTCTTTGCAGAATTTCTCTTTGACTCTGTTCCCAGGAACCCCAATGGGAAGGGGCTACCACATTGGCCAGAGTACGACCAAAAGGAAGGATACCTGCAGATTGGTGCCACCATCCAACCTGCCCAGAGACTCAAAGACAAAGAAGTAGTTTTCTGGACTGAGGTTATAGCCAAGGAGGCAGTGAAGAAGCCACACCAAAAAGAACACACAGAACTCTGAAAGGAAGGCCTACCTAGCCTTGGAAGCCTGGAGCAGTCAACACAGCTGTATTTAAAGACAATGTTTGGTGATCAGAGCTACATCTTACTGTAGATCCTGAAGAATTGTTTGTTGAGAGTGATGGGCAGAATGCAAGGATAGGAATGATTGTATTTTGACCTGAATTTGAAGATAAATATTCTTTTTGACACAAAATCAGTGTCTGTGTTGTGAGCTAGAGATAAATCTATCATCCTCAGGCAGAGAAGGATGATGAGAGGCACCATGGAAGGTATGTGTCTCTGCATGGGTGGTTTGGTGAATGACTAGGAAGAAATTTAAGAAATACAACCCAATGGAGGAGAGGCAGCATGGGTCAGATTCCTCTACAGGTGCTTATTACAACATACTTGTGAGAATTTCTCTAAAATATTTATAAAAGTGCTAAAGGCCAAGTGAATGACAGTATAAAATCCTTAAGAATCATGGAAATAAGGGGGAGTTCACAAGATCACAGATTCTTTTCCATTGACAAAGTCAGGTGCTCGTGAGAAAGATTATTGGGAGTTGTAAGATGGGGAAAGTTGGTCTCCAGAGGTGTGAGCATACAGCCCTGTGTGGAACCTTTTCTACAAGGAACAAAATTTTAAATCCACTGGGAAAGAGCAGCGAAAGTTCTCTTTCTCAGTACCTTCGTGAAGAACTACTGAGGAAGAGGAAAAGGAAACATTACAATTCTATTCCTTCCAGTTTGATACAATAGCGTTCAAATTTTCAGAAACTGTTGACTACTAGGAAGGGGAAGTTTCTCTGAGAAAGGCCACTTCATAGGTTGTGAGGCATGGGCTCCCTTAGCTTGGGATTTGACAAGAACTATACAAAACATTGCTTAGTAGATACCAAGTATCAGAAATATGCAATGTAAAAGTATTAGGAAAACCCTTTATGAAAAAAAAATACTCCAAAAGATGGAAGATAATGGATTAAAGTACAGTATCAATAAAAGGTCTAACAACTGAAAGACAGTAGATGTACTGTTGAATTTTTGAATGTATAATGTGATCATTCAAAGATAGGCAATATATATATATATATATATATATATATATATATATATAGGACTATCACTAAAAAGTTTTTTAAAAGAGCTTTACATAGCATAGTAATCAAATAGATGAAATACAAGTAGAATCACAAACAAAAACAAAAACAAAAACTCCTTCAATGTAAAAGCAAGCATACAGTAAAACAACAACAATGACAACAAAAAACAAAACCAAAAACACACACAAAGAACACATCAAGAAAAAAGTGCTTTCTGATAAAAACAAAAAGGGTTAAACCAATGAACAGGAAGAGAGATTGTATCAGATTGGATTTAAAAGGAAACCCCAAGCCAGAGGTCTATCTCAGTGGCATAAGCACCTGCCTGGTAAGCATGAGGTTGTGAGTTTGATGCCTGATATCAACCAAACAAAAAACAAATGGAAGCCCCTACAATATTATTATTTTTTATGAGGCATCTTACTCAAATGTCTCACACTTGTTTGCTGCAAGCCTTTAACAACAGCATTCCCCTTCCCCTGCTGACTCTCAGCTGGAGAAGCTGTAAAAAGCCTAGTTGGTTTCTTCCTTACTTCCAGAGGAAGATACAAACTTCACAAATCTCACCTTGGCCTCTCCCCGAGTTCTGTCAGTGTGTCCAGCCAAGGTCTCATGGTGTTCTTATGCCATGTGGCATCTGCTTGGGGGGCTGTGCCCTAAATTCAGAGACCTCAATAAGATTTGAAATTAAACTCATCATACTTCCAAGGGTAGGAATGATATCGTCTGTCTTGAATTTCAAAGCAAACTTTGGATGAATAAACATTATAGATATACAGAAATAGGTAGGTTAAAGGTAGAGGAAAAAGGACAGACGACACAAATACTGAAATAGAACATTGGGTGGCTAGGTTAAAATTAGACATACGAATACTGAAAAATTCTCTGGAAGCATTATTTGAAATCTGGAAGGTCAACACTCAGAAATCTATAGCATTCCTGTAGACCAGTAATAAGTTCACTGGGAAAAAATTAGGGAAACAACATCTTTCACAATAGCACCAAGAAAAATGAAATGCTTAGGAATCATTTTAACCAAGGAAGTGAAAGAGCTCTACAAGGAATCTTATAGTACCATAAAAAAGGAAATGCAAGAGGGTATCAGAAAATGGAAAGATATGCCCTGTTTTTAGGTGGGTAGAACCAATATAGTGAAAGTGGCTATACTTGCAAAACTGTTAAGTAGAGCTAATGCAATCCCAATCAAAATACCCAATGGCATTCCAACAATCCTAAAATTCATATTGTACCAGAAGAGGCCTAGAGCAGCAAAAGTAGTTTTGGCCAACAAGGGCAAGGCACTGGGCATCTTAATTCCTGACTTGAAGTTATACTACAGGGCTAAAAGTGGAAAACGTTTTCCATTATCTAAAATGGCCAACCTCACAGGGCAGGGGTTATGGCTTGTACTTTTTTTCCTGTTTTGTAAGTTTTGCATTTTCTGGGCAAGTTTCTAAAGAGTTTCAACTAAAGTCATGAATGAGTCCGTCCTTTCAGTGCTTCTTGCTGCTTTTTTTCTGTCGAGGATCATTTGGACTCTAGACCTTTCCCCAGTTCTGAATCCCAGGACTCCTCCTTGGAGCCTTAGGGTTCCACACTGTCCTTTAACAAAGTTGTACTCAAATCTGTAACTTTTACCTCATAGAATTTTATGATATTTATGAGTTCAATTTATTCAGTGAGTTATTCAGATGAATTTAATTTGGATTTCTAACAGTATTTACAATACAATCCCTATTAAAATAGTAATCACATTTGACAATTTATATTCTTTCATAATTTATATGATCATAGCAAATTCATTTGTACCTATCCTATCTCCTCTATTTGATATTAAGGTCTTAATATATATAGAGAACATAGTATGCACATGAGCATACATGAAATAAAACATTATGCCTTGATTGATTTATACAAATTGACTTCACTTATGCAATTTTCACCCTGATCAAGAAACAGAATATTATCAGCATCCCAGAAACCATCCTGAGATCAATTCCATGCTCTGATTATTGTTCCCTCCTTGCCTATCTATTCACGGTGGTAACTATTAACCTGGCTCTTGGCAGGATGTATTAGTTTTTCCACTTGTGTTCTGTATTAATATAAACACAACCTCTTGCCCTGACTTTCTTCTATAAATGCTATGTCTGTGAGATTCCTCTCTATGGTTCACATGGTTACAGTTTGCTCCTGATCAATGTGCAAGTCATTCACGGTGGAAATGAGCCAGTATTTGTCCATTCCATATCAGTGGCCTTTGGAGACCATAGGAATCTGTTCAGATGACCATAGCAAATTTTCACAGGCAATATGGTTGAAGAAATTTTAGCATAGTGCTGGTAACTAGAGTTTCTACACTAAAGTGCCAGCTGATTTGATTTCTGGTGAGAACATTTTTTGTGGTTTGCTGGACTTTCATTTGTAGGCCCCTCACATGGTCTTTTGTGCATGTGTGTATATATGTGTTTGTGTTTGCAGGTGTGGTGTGTGTATGCTTCTGTGTGTGTGGATAGGGGAGGTATCTTTTTTTTTTTTTTTAGGCACAGTCTCTCTATGTAGTCAAGGCTGATATTGAGCTTGTAGGGTTCTTACTGCCTCTGCATTTCTAGTGCTGGGATTATAGGTGTTCCCTACTATTCCTAGCTAGAAACTGTCTTTAATAACTACACACATGCATGTGCCTCTCCTGTGTTTATATGTAAGATGGTTTCACTGGTCATAGAGATTTCATATGTTAATGGCAGATAATTCAAAAGTTTTTCAAACATAGTTGTATCAGTTTGTTTTCCTATCAGCAGAGTAAGAAGAGCCATTTCAAATTGTTTGTAATACACTTGTGCATGGCAAGGGCAGCTCTCTCTGTAGGGAGTCACCTGCAGGACAAAACCTCTCCCAGAGTCTGAGCTAGTCAGTGTCAGGACTGGACTGACTCCAGGGTGTCCGACCTCTATTTACAATGCAGCATGAAGAGCCCTGGAAAATGCAAACCTATCATGTACTACAATTTTTGCCCAGTGACATGATTTTGAAAGAGAATAATTTCCCTGGAACTACATGAAATGACTCATGTGATGATGACATTGACAAAAGCCACTGTCTGCCACTCAGAGCGGGGTGGGGTGGGGGGGTAGAGGGTGGGGGATGGGGTGGGTCCTGTTAGTTAAGGTAGTCAGTGTCTCTCTTTAGTAAAGCAGCTATCAAGAGGTCATTTTCCACAGAGTGACTAATTTTCAGGATTATGCTTTTTTGAACCACATGTATTATTATTCATATTTCTTTATTCACTTTTTATTTTGTGAATTTTTTAATTTTAGAAACTCTATTGACTCAATTTGCATGTCTACATTTAATTTGTTGGAGGACTATCTATTAAATAAAAATTTCTTTCAAATTAAAAAGTTAAAATAAAAGGTTATCTCATTTTAAAATTACTACTAATAATCCAGATGGTGATGATACATTAATATTTAAATAAAAAAGCTCTTAAATAAGTGATATTTAATTGAGAATAAGCAGAGAACATTGCAATGTGGGAAAAGCATGGTATAGAAACCACGCAGCTATTCAATGACTTTAAAAAATACCTAAAGGTGTTGGGTGTGGTGGCTTACATCTGGAATCCTGGAATTTGGGAGGCTGAGGCAGGAGGTTGGCCACAAGTTGGAAACCAGCTTGGGCTGCATAGTGACTTCAAGGCTATCTTAGGCTACATAGCAAGACCTTGTTTAAAAGAGAGAGAGAGAGACAGAGATAGAGACAGAGAGAAAGAGAAAGAGTAGGCCAAAAAAAAGGAAAGAAAAAAAAGGCAAAATGAAGAGGGTTGCATAAGATATTTGGAAACAATAATCCCTGTCCACAGGGATTAGAAACAGGGTTTCCCAGGGTCACTGGTAAAGTCAACAAGACTGAAGAGACAGCAGCATCCTTGTAGCAGAATTTTTGCTAAAGTTTGTGGTGGCTTTTCTGGAGGTTGTGATTTTGACAGAGTCTTTTGTAATAATCTTTGTTATCCTGCAACCATCCCGAGAGCCCATCTTTCATAACTTTTCACATTATTTATTGTTTCAAGTTTTTGTTAGGTTTTACCATATGCAACTCAATTTGGAGTT